CGCTGTGCGCCGCTGGACAAGCTGACCAGCGCCGAGATTCGGCGCACCTTCGACGTGAACGTCTTTGCACACTTCTGGCTCAACAAGCAGCTGCTGCCGAAGATGATCGAGCGGCGGTCCGGACAGATAGTGGCCATCTGCTCCATTGCCGGCCTCACCGGCACCGCCAACCTAGTGGACTACTGGTGAGGACGGAGACTTTGAGAACTTGAGAATTTGATGTTGAAGCACGAGCACTAGTTAACATTCTTTCCAATTGCAGCTCCTCCAAATTCGCCATCACCGGCATGATGGAGGCGCTGGAGTACGAGCTGGAGCGCTACGGCCACGACTACATCCGCCTGACCACCATCTGTCCGATGGCCATCGCCACGGGCATGTTCAAGAAGCCGGTCACCCGCTTCTCCAGCATCCTGCCCATCCTCACGCCGGAGTACACCGCCGAGAAGGCGGTCGAGGCAATTCTCGGCGAGAAGAGTCTGGTCACCATTCCCGCCAGCACCTACTACGCCTTCTACTTGGTGGGAAAGTAAGTGTGTTCAGTCAGTGTCGGTGATGATGATGATAAGGCCGATTCAGATTTTGCCGCCACTGCTAATGCCAGCAACAGCTGCTGCAGCCGTTGCAGCAGACAGTGAAGCCCACCACCGGCTCATTGTGTGTGTTTTCAGTTGGGATTCACCGAGGTTTTCTTTCTTTCTCTATCTTTTCTAGAATGGTGCCCGACAAGGCTCGCAACTTGCTGCGCAACTTTTGCCAGTACGGCGTGGACCAGCATTGATTCGAATTGGACAGCAGCGGTGGTCAAAGGCGATGTCCACCAAAGTTTAGCTCTAAAGAGTGAAAGAGAAAAGAAAACAGTGGATTACTTCCTTTTGTTTAGTTTTTGTTGTTTACCGGGAAGAGAACTGTTGTGTGAAAATAAAGAATGAACACTTCGAAACTGGGAAAATGATTTTACTTAAACTTATTATTCTTTTTCTTAACCACAAAGGCGAAATTGGAGAATTGAATTTTACATGTTGGCGATAAATTAAGAGTGATGCTTGTTGTGGCTGGGCTGGTGTTATTTAAATCTGAGAGTGAGAGGAGGAGGAAAATGTGTGTGTGTAAGTTGGGGTGTGTGAATTAAGAGAGAGAGAGGTGGAAGGTTTCCGAAGGCGGATGGAAGAGAGAGTCTTCGGGCAAGATGAAATCAACGGCCACGATGATGACGATTACAGGAGAGGGAGAAAGAGAGCATGGGTGGAAGTGGGGCACATGATGTAACGTCCGCCGACTTAGCAGGAGCCGCATCCGCCGGTCTGCTCCTGGAACACCTCGATGACGTCCTCCTCCTCCATGTCCAGCGACAGCGGCGTGTCGCCGTCGTCAATGCGGCGGCCGTCGAAGAGGAAGCGCAGCGAGGTGAGTGGCACGCCGATGCGGTCGCTGTACGACTTCTTCAGCTTGCTGAAGGCGGTGGTCTTCTTCACGCGAAAGTGAAGCTCGTTGGTGTCCTGGCCGACCACCTTGATCTTGATGTACTCCTGGTTCTGGTCCTTGTTGTCCTCTGCCATCGCGTCTGCTTTGGTTGGTTGGTCGGGGGTGGTCGGGGTGAATCGAGGACCGAAGAGGTCGGGTGAAGAGAGGGTTGACGAAAGTCGAGCGAATACCGGGGCGAAAGACACGCGAAGAGAGATCACGGATTCAGATGAGACCGCGAAGTGGCAATGCCGGCTGAGAGAAGCGAAGCACAATAAAAGCCTGTCTGTCTGTCTGGCTGTCTCTCTCTTTCTCTTTCTCTCTGCTTTGGCCTTTGCTAAGCCAACTGCGAACGATGTGCGCACGCGGCGGCCAGACTGCGTCCACCGCCTGCTCCTGCTCATGCGCCGCCTGGCTGTTACAACGGTCTGTGGAAATAGGCGCCAACCTGCGCCCTGGATCCCCTAGCACCTTTTGCCCACGATTTCGCCGTCTAATCGACGCGAAAAGCACGCTCAGAGTGCCACCAGTGCCGGCCACTGTTGAGCGGACCAGAGCGGTGCCAGCAGACGGGCGCCAAGGGGTCAAACTGCAGGGGCTTCCGCTTGGATGACGTCACTAGCCTGTGCGACTGCAGCGACCCCAGGCGGCCACAGAAATCAAGATGGCGCCCTGCCGTGCACAAAGAACGTTTCCCAGCGCGAAGCGGATCATCATTGCATCATCGACTGCAAGACGTTGCCGCTGCGTCGTCGTCGTCCATGATGATGATGATGATGACATCCACTAGTTGTTCGGCTAGCGAACTAGGAGTTTGTTTGTGCGTCACTTCGGCAGCAGAGCACTGATCTCTGACAGTTAGCTCGCAGTGGTGGCGGATCCGCTGCCGTCGCCTCGACTTTTGGAGAGTGTAAACAACAGCATTGCAGAGTGCGCGCGGATCCGATCCTCTACACTGCTGCTGCTTGGATACACTCGCCAAAGAAGAGGTTTCCAGGAGAGCTGCAGCTATTCAGGCAGGCAGCTATTTGCCGCGCCATTTTCAGTGAGTGCCTGCCAGTGGCAGCCCCGCCCCTGCGCCGTCGCTGCTGCTGTTGTTTGCGTTGGCCGCGCTCAGGCCACCTCGATCCAGCGGCCATCTGTGGTGCGCCATTCAAAGTGAGCAGAGCTAGCATCCAGAGCGCTTCGGATCCTCTCTCGCTCGGAGCTCGTTTTAGTCAGCCACAGGAACGGCAGTCGTCGCCGACGTAGCTGCTGGCCGCTCTGCTCGCCTCTACTCGATCCTGCCGCCGCTGCAGCAGCAGCAGCTTTTCTTCTTTCTATTTCTATTTCTCTTTCTCCCTCGTATTCTTCCCTCCGCCCGCGATCCACAGTACCCATAGCCAGCAGCAGCAGCAGCAGCAGCCGGACAATTACCGAAGCTCGCTTGCTCGTTCGGTCATCAACTGCTGTCGCTGTCAGTCAGAGTCAGAGTCGCATCACTCCTCCACTGCCACACACACTTCAGCAGCAGCATATTTACCTCGCTCTTTCTTATCTCTCAGCAAACCATCACCTTTTCTGCGAGACATCTCAGCACATTCTCTCCGATCTTTGCCGAACTTGGACCATTGTTCACCAACCGCCGACCAGTGCCAAGTTATTCAATCACACTACTACCGCCGAGGAGCGTCTAGCGCCCGCCTGAGAGCGCCTACCATCTTGTGAACCTTCTCTCTGTCTCGGTTGCTGCTGGCGCCAGTGAATTCGGTTGAGAAGAAGGGCTCCACAGAAGTGCAACAGCAGCAGTGAAAAGGCAGCTGGAATCGCCAGTGTCTCTCACCTAGACGCCCGTCGTTCATTCATTCGTGTGTGCTCTTGCTGCTGGTGGTATATAGGTGCCGTACGAGGCGAGGAGACCACTGTCGTCCACCGACGCCGAAGAAGAAGAGTGTACTGTACTCCTCTGTTTTCTTCTTTTAATCGCTCAAACATCGCTTCGCAGCCTTTCTACTTCTCTCTCACATCTGTCTCTCGTGCTCTGCTTCTCACTCTCTCTCTCTCTCTCTCTCTCTCTCGTGCACCTCAACATTTGCAACAACAGCAGATGCAGCAGCAGTTGCAACTCGACATCAACTTCTTTTCCGCGATTGCAACTTTTCGGAGACAACTTATCACTGACACTGAACCTGGTGGCCGCTTGAATCGTAGAAGACAACGGCAAACATCGTCCCCGCTCTCATCTATATCAGATTCTCTCGCCCACTGTCGGTGCCCGTGAATGAATTTTTGAGTGGTGCACACCTTTCGCCACCAGTCACACAGATGCACACAGTTTGGTGCATACTCTTCAATAACAGCGAGAATCTCTTCATTTGAACTCGACCGCGCTGTTTTTGTGTGTTTTTGTCAGCGCAGCTCTCGTGTTTCGTGCTGGTGGAGGCTGATGTTGCCACCACTACTGCTGAACACTTCATTCATTGCCACCGCCGCCTCCTCCTCCATCTGGGTGGCCCTCACCATTCCATCGCTGCGCGCCGAAAGATTGCACGGAATGAATCCGCTGTATCAAGAACAGCATCTACCCTAATTTCGCCCTGTTTACAAGCACAAGCCATCATCATCATCATCACCCGTAGTCTTCAACTTATTCTTCATCTCGTCTTTGCACCAATCACCATAACCAACACAATCTCACAAGGTTAGTCTCTCATTCTCTCTATCTGTCACCAGCATCTACCTGCGGATGTCTGTCTGTTTAATGACCTGCCTGAGTGCTGCTGCTGCCTTATCTCGCAGCAACTACCGCGTCTAAATTGCGCAAACACTGCTCCAAATGTTTTGGTTGCTTCCAAATCTCCTCAGTGCGCGTATGTGTGTGTGTGTGTGTTGTGCTGAGCGGCGTCACCTCATCTGCGAGCTCGTCGTTTTACGTCAACGGTTTTCGCTCAGGAGGCGAGCGTTTTGATTGGCCAGCGCGTTTGGCGCCTGCTTCAAATCTGCCTCTTGTTTGGATCCGCCTTCGCGCGTTTTTCCGCCACCGCGTTGCCGCTTGCTTGCCTACCTGGCGGCACTTTGACATTTGCAGACATCGACCTGGCACTGAATTCTAATTACAATTCTCCCTATTACTCTCAACAGAATCATCTCTTCACAGACAGCTTCTCTAGTGGAAAGCGAACACCGAGCTCACAATGTTCTACTCGGTGTTCGTGTTGGGCAAGAAGGGCCCGCTGGCCCGTGTCTGGCTAGCCGCCCACTGGGACAAGAAGATTACTAAAGCACAAATTCTCGAGACGAACATCGTGGAGAGTGTCGACTCGATTCTCCAGCCAAAAGTAAGTGCTTATCTGTTCTGTTGTTTGGGTCGTTGTTTTTTTGTAATTGCTAACTTGTTCTGGTGTTCTACCAAGGTAAAACTTTCTCTCAGAACGTCATCTCACTTGCTCCTGGGTATAGTGCGCATTTACGCCCGCAAAACGCTCTACCTCCTGCAGGACTGTCAGGATGCTGCCTTCAAGATCAAGTCAGCCTTCCGACCGGGCGTCGTCGACTTGCCAGACGGCAAAACCGAGGCGGCCATCAGTGCAATTACCCTTCCCGAGATGTTCGACTTTATCAACGACTTTGATATTCACGCCGAGCCGCAGATTCTGGTGGAGCCGACCACGTCGGCCAACTTGCGCAACATCACACTGCCCGATGACATCAGCAGCATCAACGTCGACGACCAGCTGATGGACGGCCACCCGTGGTCGGACATTGGCTCCATCGGCGGCGGCTCCATCAACATCAGCAACGGCAACGACCTCACGCTGAACGACAGCGGCATCTCCAACAACGTGGACATGTTCGACAGGCCAGCGCTGGACGACGGCTTTGGCGGTCAGCTGGGTGTCGGCATTGTCGACGAGGACGACGTCTTCGGCATGACCATGCCCTCGCAGGAGGAGGTGAACGCCGCTGGCGGCGGCGGCGCCGCCGGTGAAGGCACCAGCAGCCAGGCAAACCTGGAGAATGGCCACGGCGGCGAGGAGAGCAACCTGGACAACCCCATCTCCTCGAGGCCCAACTCACCGGCGATGAGCGACAATATGAGCTTTGGAGATGGCGCCTCCATTGGCGGCTCCATTGGCTCGCCCGGCTCGGCGGACATGCTCGACGACATTGAGCCTTTTGACGCGGCCATCAACCACAATGGCCACCACAACATGGACAACGACTCGATGATCACCGATGACAGTCACATTCACCGGGCGGGTGACAGCATGGCCGGCGGCGAGAACGGCCAACCGTCGCACAACACCCTCGTCCTCGAGCCCATCGACTCGCAGCTGGGCGGTCTGCTGGAGCGAAAGCGCAAGCGCAGGAAGAAGATCGGCATGGTCATCGACGAAGTGAAGACTCTTTCCGGCGAGGAGATGAAGTCGCAGCTCTCCGACACCAAGGACATCGTCACCAATCTCGACCTGGCCCCGCCCAATAAGATGCTGATGAACTGGAAGAAGACCGGCCTCAGCGACAAGCTCTTCACGCTGCCGGAGCGGAACATCTCCACGAAGGTCCTGGTCATCTGCTACTCGCGCAATCTCATCACCAGCCGCTACGACGGCACCGCCGAGAATGAGATCCTCAACGAGGACTGGGAGGCGCAGGAGGAGGCGGAGGACCTGATCAACCTGAACGGATACCCGCAGAGTGCAGGGCCGCACCACCCCGACCAGGCGAACGACATTGACGCAATCATTCCCAACTCGCCGGAGATGGCGGCGCCGAAGACGCCGAGGGCGCCCAAGTCGCCGGCACCGCCGCGGAAGAAGCGCAAGACGGCGGAGAAGGACGACAAGGAGAACAAGGTGGAGATGGCCTTCAAGCGACCACGGGACTCGCGCCTCGAGAAGTCCTCCATCGGCGAAGTCCGCCAGAGTGTGGGAGAGGAGGCGAACAACCTGTCGAACCTGCAGAACAACCACACCTTTGATGGCAACTTTGACTCCTTCCACGGAGGCCAGGACGCCCCGTCGTACCAGCAGCAGCATCAGGACCCGTCCGCCTTCTCCAGAGAGTCGTCCGTCTACGGCGGGCGCGACCACCAGTCCGGCCACCAGGACAGTCTCGCCAACAGCAGCGCACAGCCGGCCGCTTTCGTCGAATCGGATGAGGAGGAGAAGGAGGAGGACCCCGACGAGTACTTTGATGATGACTTTGGCATGGGCGGGCCACTGTCAGTCGGACCGGTAAGTGATGAGGATTTTAATGCTAAAAACTTTTATTGATCATCTCTTTCCATCTCTTTCAGAATGAGGAGATGCTGCCCGAGGAGACGGCGGACCAATTTGAGGAGCGCATTCGCAACAAGCGCTCCAACATTCTCCTCAAGCACATGGGATCTCAACTGGAGGAGGTGGGCCACATCTACTTCTCCAACCTGATTCGCAACAACAAGAGAAAATTGGTACGGGGTAGCTTTTTTTGCTTTTGATGTATTTCTTTACTAACTTTTTTCTAATTTTTTCACAGGTTGCACAAAAGTTCTACGCTCTTCTGGTGCTGAAGAAGCAGATGGCCATCGAGCTGGAGCAAGACCCTGAGAACCCCTACTCTGAGCTGACCGTCACCAAGGGCGCAAAGTACGACGAGCACATGGTCTCCTCAGCATAACCACCTCCTCCTTCTCATCTTCCTCTTCCTCAGCGCAGCAATCTGGCCATTGTGTCATCATCATCTTTATAAATATTTTTTCCTCATGCAAACACACACCCTAAGCAGCAGCATAAGCAGCAGCACCCATATTGCAACCGTATACACACAGAAATGCAGACCACACACGTTGGCGTTTACTTTTTTATACAAATCTTCTATCAACTCCTTTTTTCGGCACTCTTCTTCTTTCTCATCTTTTCTTCACCTTCATCTTCATCACGAGCATTTTGTACCGCTTCATCTCTCTCTTCGGCTCTTTTTTCGTGCATTTCTCACCTTCACTCATTCATTCACCTTGATCCACCCATCATCTCATCAGCAAAACTTCTTCTTCCTCTTTTTCTTTTCAGTAACATTGTGTACAATTACTTTAATTTATTTATAAATACAGTAACTTCTTCACACTTTTTACTATCCTTCTTCCTTTACTATCTTTAGGGCACACACACCAGCTCCCACTTTTACTTAATTTATGAATTTTATTTTGTTATCCAGTTGTGTCAGCTCCACACACATTTGCATGATTTGCATGAGTTCGTTCAGAGTACCGCTACCACTACCAGGCTACCAGAGTAGCGCACTGTAGAACAGCGAATCAGTTTATACATAGTACTATCATACTTTCTTTTATCCATTCATTGCCAAATCTATCAATAAAGCACAGTGTAAAACTTGAAAGACTCAAATTCAAGTTCGATTTTGCGTTTTTCATTTGGGAGCTGAGGCGACATCTGCCGATCTGAGATCAGCTGACTGGAGGGCGCTCTTGTTATTTTCACTGTGTTTGCCATGTGATCTGCATCGGTTGCTGTCGCCAGGCAGCGCCAGGCTGATTTATTGGCATCCTTTTGAGGATGATGAAGATGGCGTTTTCAGTACACCCACCACCATCACCGCATTATCTTCATCTGCAATGTCCCTTAGCTGTACTGGCGGCAGCAGCATCTCTGCTTCGTCGGCACTTTTTTGTTGTTTGGCTACTTCAGTCTCCTGCTCACTTGTACTCCTCGTGATCATCTTTCTCCTCGGTAAGTGCCATCTTGTACTACCTACTACCTTCTAAGGCGATGGCCACCACCGACGCCGCCAGCAACGACGACGACCACCATCCTACGTCTGCTGATTACGTTCAGCTGAACATTCTCACGTTTGCCGCCGTGAGAGATCGTCTTCAGGACAGCAGCAGCAGCAGCAATGTCAATGTCGCAGCGGGCGATCCGGGGGCAAACCAGTTTCAGGTTCGCCTCCCCTCGAGCTGGTCCAGCGGCGCCGACCTTCGCCGGCACATCTGCCGGCAGCTGTGGCCAGTGTTGGCGGAGATTGAGCCCAGCATTGCCCTCGCCCTCAACCTGCAGTACGTTGATCTGAATGGCGGGCCGCTGACGCTGACCGCCGCCGACACTCTCGCACTTATTCCGCCCATATCGGGTGGATAACACCACTATCATCTAGCTGTGAATAATTATGAATAATTATCACCTCGCATGACTGTAAACAACAAAAACAATAACAACACTAACGACGTTGTTACTGCCGTTGCTGCTGATGCACTTCGCCACTGTACGGTTGATCGAACCGTACAGGAACGGTTCAATAAAGAGGAGGTTTTGCCCACTTGGCACATCACCTCATGGTGGTGGTAGTGGTTAATCACGGTGAAAGCTGCTGCTGCTGCTGCTGCTGGAAAGAGATGAAAATTGCTCTCTGCTTTGCTGTCGCTGCCGTCGGAAAAGCTGCACAAGGTCATACTGAGCCGCCTGCTCACCAGAGTTGCGCATACTGACACAACCGGTCGTCATCTTACTCAAGAGAGAAAGTGAGCGTTTGTGGGATTGCCTGCAGAAGAGAGAGAACTGGCGAGTGCTGTTGTTGTCTGCTGTTGGGTACACCGACACCAACAAAAAACCGCTCTTCTGAAGCACGGTTTATTGCCGCTCGTTAGCTTTGACATTTCACAAACTCCACCACCAAGCCATGTTCTTCAGGCGATCACTGGCCACTGCTGCTGGAGGCGGAAAGGGCCGCACCACCGTTCAGCTCTTCTACGACATCATCTCCCCCTACACGTACATTCAATTTGAGCTGCTCACCCGCCAGAAGGCCCAGTGGCCCTCCATGGAGCTCCGCTTCACGCCGGTGGCCATCGCCCCGCTGATGACTGGCGCCGGCAATGCCCCGCCCATGATGGTTCCCGCCAAGGCCGTCTACATGGTGCGGGACCTCCGCCGACTGACCAAATTTCACAAGGTAGTCCCCCATTGATTTGTTAATGTAGAGCAAATTCTCTAAATTCTATTCCCCTAGATTCCTTTTGCAATGCGACCAGACTTTCCGCAGTTTGCAATGGAGTTTGGCAGCATTCGCTCGCAGCGTTTCCTACTCGCTGCTCAGGAGCTTCTAAAGTCGGAGCAATCGGAAGCTGGTCGGGAGCAGGAAGAGGCGCTCATTCGCCGCTTCTTTCAGGTAACCTCTTTCTACCTGATTTTCGAACTTGAGTTCTAGTTTCTTTCTCTTTTCGAACACCTTCTTCACTCTCAGGCCTTCTTCTCGCCGACCGAGCCCAGCGCCGACATCTCCAACCTGGAGGCGATTCAGTCGCTGGCGCTGAGCACTGGCGCTGACGCCGGCCTGGTGGCACAGGCGGCCAAGGACTGCTCCGGTGACCCGGTGAAGGCGAAGCTGCGGGCGAACACCGACGCGGCCAGCGCTCTGGGCGGCTTCGGCCTGCCCATCACCGCCGTTCACCTGCCGGAGAAGGTCGGAGGGCCGCAGGCAATCTGGGGCTGCGACCGAATGCACATTGTCGGCCATCTGCTGGGCGAGAGTAAGCCGCCAGTTCTTCAGTAGTAGTAGATTAGTGCTCATTTTTAATTCTAAACTGCCAAACTGATGGTAATAAAGCAAAGCAAAGTGTAAACAGTGTGATCATCCCAACTGCTGATAACTGTCGCTGGCAATTAGGCTCGCCACTCTCCACAGCAATTCTCTGCCCTTTCCGACTCTTTTCCGGCTCATTGGCTTGGACGGCTGCTTCGGCTGTGGCATTTATATTCACCGGTAGTGAGAGCAGCTGCCCCATGGGAGTTTGTTTGTTTGCTTATGCTTGGTTATGTGTGAATGAATGAGCGGCAGTTCAGCCCCCTCAAAAATAGTTTGTTGTCTTCCTTCCTTTCCAGCACTAATCTCCAGCGCCTTTGGCTGCTGCTCATGCGATTGCGCCCCACTGCTGCTGCTGTTGTCCTTTCTCTTCTTGAAGTATTCCGACAGCAGCACACGAATCGAACGAGTGCCTGTGTGGTGGTGGTGGTGCTGGCGGTCTGGCGCAATGAATGCGCGCCCGGATCCGAACTACTCTGCAGTGCCGTTGCAGCAGCAGCAGCCGAAGTTGTGTTGTGTTGAGAGAAAGAGAGAGTGGTTCAAGGCGTGAGGACTGTGCGCCTGCTGCTGCTGGCGGACAACAGTTGCCGTCGCCGCCGCCGGTTCGCACACACAGATTCATGCTGCTTCTCTTCTTCGATTGCCTTCTGCAACTTCTGCCTTCTGCAGCTGCAGCAGCTGTGCACAGCCACTGTTGAGTGGTCTCAGTTGGTGTGTGTTGAATGCCTCAGCCAGCAGCAGAAGCAGCATCATTCACGCTGAAAGCACTACCAAAGACAGTCAGCCTAGTGTGTTGTCTTCTGTACGGCTGCAGTACAGCAGCTCTGCTCTTCTCTGTTTTCTTGTCCATTGTGCAATCATCATCGCCAATTGGCAATCACCGCTTTTTCTTCTTCTGCTTCCTCGCTCTGTAGTTGGTTGCATGTGCTCTCCACAGCTCTTCAGTTTTAGCTTCAGCTTCAGCAGCTCTACATTCTCTCGCTGACACTCGTCGCTGCTCAAAGTAACTTCAACCAGCCAACTAGATGGCTGACTAGCAGCAGCAGCAGCTACAGCTTGCCCAGAAGTAGACGTCGCCCAAGTTCAGCTGAAGAAGCGACGGCAGCAGCGGCAGCCGAAGAGTGGAAGAGGACATCAACACTATTCAGTGTACGACATGATGTACGGCAGATGATCATCATTCTCTTCTGACCATCTCCTTCTCCCTCTTCTTCCCTTTCATCATCAGCTAATCCATCTCAAAACAAGTAGCAACAGCAACTGACAAACACTAGCAACAGTTTCTTCTCAACTCTTTGTACTTCAGTCTTTCTTCTTTCTCCCACTCGGACAGCGATGTTCGATCAGCGGTGGTGGTAAGTTGTTGTGACCGGTAGAAGTAGTAGTAGTGCTTGTTTACCAATTTTGTAAAAGTTCTTTTTTTACTCTTTTAATTGATGAGTAATCATTTCAATGCGGATAGTATTAGCTGTGACATTTACGGCCGAGTGTGCATATCCAATTAGCAGCTTTCTATTTTTGTGTGACCAATATTTGCAAATTGCAAATGATGATGATAGCTTCGATTTCATCTGATTCGATTTTTCATCCTGATCTGTGTGTCACTTGTGCCGGTGTCTCACACAGTCTCATCTTTTCTTTCCCTTGTCTGTCTGCCTGCTGACACTGCTGACCAAGTAATCTGCTGCTCAGGACTTTCTACCTTTAGCTGTAAAGTTGGTGGGCTCATGCTTCAGCTGCTGCTACTGATGCCTGCCTGCCTGTCTCTGTCTATTTGTCTGCTTTTCAAACTTTTTCATTCAAGGGAAACGAGTTATGCTTAATGCGAGTAGGAGAGTGAGTTATCGATGTGCTGTAATAGCAAAAAGAGATGTGAGGTGAGGTGAGAGGGAGAGAGAGAGAGTTTCATTGCACCTTCAAAGTCAAAGAGGCTGACGATGGTGATGATGAAGAAGAAGAAGTGTTCACGACTAGAAACGACTGAACGACGGTCAGACGACGAGGGCGACGGTGGCTTCACATTGACCTCGAGAGTGAGAGATCGAAGAGGAGAAGAGAGAGAGCTCGTGTCAGGCGCCACACTGGCCGACACTAGACACTGTCGTTCTCGGCGTCGTGGTTCACTTCTTTTTTTCTGCTGCCACTGCCATCACTTGCCGTCTGCTTGCCCGTCTGTGCGCCACACACATTTGCAGGATTTGGCATTTTCCCTGCACCATCACCACCACCACCACCACCACCACCACCAAACCGATGCACACTGTCCACTTTTGGACTTTGCCATCATCAGTTCTCTCTCGAGGTTGCTGTCTCGTTCATTCGCCCTCTTCTGTCTAGTGCAAATACTGTATGTTTTGGTGGTGGTTTTTTGTGGTGGCAGGAGCAGCACCGGCAACAGCAGTGACAACAGCGGCGGCGGTATCACCAGATCAAATTGCAGCAACTTCATTCAGTGTAGTCGTTATCCTTCTCCCACTCATTTCGACCACTGACTGCTGAAATTACAGTGAGATTAGGTCCCACTGTCGACAGGGATAGGACAGGCACTACAGCAGCAGCAGCAGCCATCACCGGCCAATGAGACAGCAACCTTCTTCTTTTTCTTCTACTGCTCACCAGTGACTTCTTCACCATCAGCAGACTTTCTTGTCGACTCACTGGTCGGCCCTCGATCGAACACTGCCAGCAGTGCCCATTTACATTTATTCTTCACTTCACCTAGCCTGACAGCGTGTGTACGAAGTTTGTACGAAGCTGTCTGTTTGTCTGCTTTGGTGTGTGTTTGTACATTCACAATTGTGTCCGGGATAATTAAATTAAACTGCAACAAGAGAAAAACAGAGTGGTAGTCAGGCAGAGTCACACATACGTGCTGCAGTACTCCAATTGCCATTAATCATTGTTGCCTCCTCTTCTCTTCATCGTTGTCTCACCGTATGTCTACTTTTTTCTGTCTATTTGCCCTAACCAGGAGCAGCACCTGCCTGGCCTCGATTGTCACACCACCACCCGAAACCCGAAACCACACTACTGTCTGAAGACGTAGATGCCGATCCTCCTTCATGTGATATTCTCTCCTTCTTCCTCCTTCTCTAAGCCATCCTCGCCATCCTAGCCAAGCAACCAGACGGTAACCAGTTACCACAGTACAGTACAGAACCTGGTCAACCAACTCTTCACTCATTCATCCAAGCAGTCCTCATCCTCATCACCCCACTGTTCTCTGTCTCTCGATTGTGATCATTACCGGTGCCGTGCTCCCTTGCCTTGTCAGTGTGCTTATTTTAGCCGGTAAGTTTGCCTTTCCACCTACCTCTCTTTCTCTCTGACTATCGATAGCTGTTTATAGCACCTGCACTAGTCACAGGCAGTCACAGTGAGTTCGAGCTCTATTTCCGATCATTACTGTTCGGTTCGGTGCTGGTGTGCTGGTGCTCGTTTTTTTGCCCTCTCTTTCACTTCATTTCTGCTGACATCAGCGGCGGCGGCGGCACTTGCACTCGATCTTCCGTTGTTGCTGCTGTTGCTTCTACCACACAGCCGACGCCTCCGCGACACCGGTGCACTACCTAATCATCGAATTGATCTGCTGGATGAATTGATCGTCCTCAGTCAGCTTTCCACGAGAAGTGTGTACTTTGCTATCTTTTTGCTGTACAGTGCTGGAGTGCACTGCCCTCACTGTCCTCTGTTGTCTTGTTCACTTGTCCTCTTTTTGTGTGTGTGTTTCAACCCGACCTCTGATGATTAGATTTTTTTGCCTTTTGCACTTGTCAACTTTTAATTCAATTCCTCCTTCTCTTCCTCCTATCTGCAATCTGCTCACTTCTACTTAAAGCACACCTGCACACTTTAATCAAATTGAGGGCCATTATACCACCACCACGCAAATCCGGGACCCGACTAGCTGACCGGCCGAGTGATTTGCATTTGTCATTTGACATGCTGATACTTATCTGGTGTGGCAGTGCACTGAGTGCACATGAAAGTAGATTTATTCATTGCGCACACTTTTATTGTCGTTTTGTTGTTTATGTGCTCTTTTTTGTAAGGCGAACTTCATCATCATTGTGGTCTGTGTGCTTCGCCCGTCTTTTCTTGGCCAATTGCGGGGAAAAAGGCAGATTTGACAGTGCCATTCTCTCTTTCATTGAGTACACATTTCGATATCGATCAGCAGAGGTAGTGTGTGCGGACCTAAGCTGTCAGAGTGATGATGGTTTGGCTATTCATTCATTCATTCATCTATCCATTCATTTACTTGATTTGCTGGTGGTAGTGGTGTCTATTTAATTAATATAAGAGTGAGAGTGAATGAAATGGTCGTTATCAGCGACCAGCACTGACATTGCCGCCGCCATCAGCGGAGCACCAGCATTTGGCGTCCAAAGTTTTTTTGGGCGTCGTCTCGCAAATGCAGGAAAAAGGTGACTTTCAGTGCGTTCTTGCTGTTCTTGCCGCTCAAGATTTCCAGTGAAATGCACCAGTCAAATTGGCTCGGCGAATGGCTGGCTGGCCGTAATTTTGCCCTGGTGGGGCGCCGCAAAAACTTGGGCGCTGGTGAACAGCTTAGCTGCTACTTCTGCTGCTGCTGTCTGTCACACGGTTTTTGCTCACACCGAGACAGAAACAGCAGTTCTTTCCCATGGCTTTCCTTCTTTTCCCCAATCGACAGCGAAAATGCTGAATTAATGAATATTCTCGATTATGTCTCTCCTTCCTCGCATTCATTATTCACCTGCACACATACTTTTCTGTGCTCTTTATTTATTTACTTACCTGTACCTGAAATTTTGCCTTTCCCTGCCTGCCTTGCCTACTTTCAACACTCGTTGGCACACTGACTGGCTGGCTACAATGTACGGCAAGCCCTTAGGTGTGTTGTACAACCTGGCACAGTCAGTCTGACCTGATTCACCAAAGTACCTTGCGACACACACACACACT